GGAAAACCCCCCAAATTTAACCCCCAAAACCCAAAGGGGGTTTTGTGCTTTCACATGTTCACAAACTGACCCGCTTCCACTCCTCCATGCCCCAGTTGTGACAGCCCAGCTGGGGAACTTCTCCTCCTTTCTAGCTTTTTTCAATTTTTTTAAAAAAAAGCAGCCAGGGGGGGTCCCATTTGTTTTTTTTAAATTGTCCCAAAAGCACTCCACTGTGCAAAGCATAAACGCACAGTTTTTGGTGTTAATGGGTCCTTCAAGTGCCCAAAAACTCTTTCGGGCACTTGGGGCAATACTTTAGAAGCTCCAAAACAAAAAAAAAATTTAAAAAATCACTTTTGTTTTCTTTCAAAAAAAAATTTTTTCCCTTTATTTTTTTTCGTAAAAAGGGGAACTTAAACCTTTAAAAACCCTGGGCATTTTTGTGGGAAAACCACAACTAAAGGGCTCAGGTGGGAAAGGGGGCTAAGGGGTGAGCTCAGGGGGCGTTCGGAACACATTTCCCCCCGCCCCAGAGAAGGGTGTCACAAACAACATAAAAGCCATAAGCCCCGTTTCACAACTTACTGCAGGGAAATCGAGATTCTGGGGCATGCTTTTTTGGGGAAATATTACCCTTAAAAAAATAAAAAATATGGGCACCCCAAAAACCCCCATAATTGGCTGTTTTACCCTGGGACCCTTTGGTTTAAAAGTATTGTTGGTTTTCTTTGTATTGCTTTCCCTTTGGGGTAAAAAAAAAAAAACGTTTCTCTTGACAGTCCCCCCTGTTTTCCCCAATTCAACGACTATACTAGGCAAAGAGAGGGACATCCACCCAACCAATGTTACGCAACCGTGAGGGCCTTTCTGGGAAAAAAAGGGCCCCCCAAAAGGTTTTCCTTTCCCTTAGCCCTTTGCCCAAACTAAACCCCCAAACCCCCTCTGACAAACCCCAGGTTCAAACATAAACACTCAGGAAAACCCCGTTTTCACAGACACTTTAAATTTCAGCAATGTAGTTAGTTTTAAATAAAGATTAAATTTAGTCAATAAAAATAAATAACATTACGAGAATACCCCCTTAAAAGGGGGGCCAAAAAAATTTGGGTGGAAAAAAAAAAAATGAAACCCCAGGGGAACGTTGGGGGAAAAAAAAATAAAAAAACCCCTTTTTCAAACAGGGTTTTTAAATATTGGGCAGAGGGGAGCTCTGACTTCAGGGAAAAAAAGGGGAAAAGGGGGAAAAACTTTAGCCGCTCCCCTCAATCCTGATTCCACAGATCTTTAACCCAGTACACTCTGTAGGAAAAGTTTAAAAAACCAAAATGGGGGCTTAAAGCTAGAAAAGAACATTTTAAATAGCGGCCCCCCCTTTAAAAAAAAATGTCCCTGGATAAAACCCCCAGGTTTTTTGGGATTGAGGATATCAAAAAAAGTCCTGGTTGGGAAATTTTGTCCTGGGTCTTCAACAAAGGGTTAAAGGGGCCCAAATGATTGCTTTTGGGAATGGCGACCAAACAATAATATTTTTTGTAAAAGGGTTCCAGAAGAAGGTCTCAAACTTGAAGCAGGGGTAAAAGGGATAAAAAAAGGTGCTACATGCAGTGGTTACCCTTTTGAAGATTTTTCACGGGTGGACCCTTTTGGGCCCGACACCACCCGGGTGAATTGTGGCTCAAAGGGTTTGGGGTGTCCTGGAAGGCTGCCCCAATTCTTCTAACCAGTGTGGGACGCTCGGCCCAAGCGCCTGTACACTGGGGGTTCCGTGAGGATAAATGGTGATGATGCTCCAACACCTCGGCTCATCATGCCCGCCAACAAAGGGAAAAATGCGACAAGTTTTAACTGGATGGGCCAAAACCCCAACCCCCAAAGACTCCCTCCTGTTTGGAAACCGGGATGGCCCCCTTCAGGGGTTTTTCAACAGCACCGGGGCCGGCTTAAAAGCTTTCGCCCCAAAACCCAAAGGAAAGGGGCCAAATTAAAAAACCCCCCGGTCCAAAATTATTTTATTTTCCTCCAGCATGCACCCCTTTTCCCCCCTCCAGCCAGCTGGATCCTGTGTTCCCAGCAGCATTTCTTCTTGGCAAGTCCCCCTACTGGGGCTACATGTCCAATAGGGCCCCAAAAAGACAGAAAAAATTTTCCAAACTTATTTTTAAATAAACAAATAATAAAGGATTTTCACCCGATTAAGAAAAACCTCAAAAAATAAAACTTAAAATTTAACAAATTGGGAAAATTTCAGGGTTTTGCCCGAAAAACCACTGCCTATTCTTCCCCTTGGGCTCTTTTCAAAGCTGTTTGGGCAGGCCAGGGCTAAGCTTTTCCCTTTCCCAAAGGTGTCAGAAGGGGGATCAAGGTTAAACCCCCTGCCAATGAATGGGGAGAGGGGGCCCCGGCACTTTTTTTTGGGCCCTCTGATAGTAGGTATTATTTTATCTGAAATTTTCTCCTAATGCATCATAGGTTTTGACTTTTGGGCCGATTTATGTTTTGCCCTGGATGTGTGGAAGGCCCTTCCCAGCACCCGGCATAGGTCTGCGTTCTGAAATTTAAAGGCATCAATGGGGACTATGAGAGTCCCAAAAGGGACTGAGAAAGAACTTTAAAAACAGCCCCGGGAGAAATTTTGGTAATTTTTCAGGGTTTTGGGTTGGGGAAAGGTTTCCCTCACTTAAAGGAAAAACCCCTCCCCTTCCTCCCCGACCGCCACTTTCAGGAGTGTCCTTTTAACTGCAGGAGGGGTTTTTGAATTCGGGTTTGGGTGATTTCATCATTAAAAACGGGTTAGATTTTTCCTTCCCCCCCCCCCTTTTTTTGGGGGTAAAATGTTTCGATCTTAACTTTACTGGCCGCAGGTGTGGGAAGGGTTTTTTTTCCTCTGAACTCTCTCATCTCCAGTCAGGCTGGGTCCCTAGTTACAATGTTTTGGGTATCTGGCCATAAGCAGTACGGCGCGGCATACGCCTCTTCTTCACTCGATGTCATCTTCCATCTCAGTATGGTCAGTGGCTGATGGCCTCGTTGACACAGCTGGGTTTTTGAGGGCCTTTGGTTATAGAACTTCTCTGAGGAGCCATGGCTTTGAGGCACTTGGGCGGCAACTATGAATAAGAAGGAGCAGATGGATTTTGATGACACATATTAAAAGGGCCAGTCTTGCCCCCTCAGGACAGATTTGTATACTGGCAGCCCATGGAGTGTTTAGTTGCAGATGATGTAGGAATGAGATCCGCCAGCAATCTGCCAACTTGTGCTTCCCAGGCACTCCCTAAGTTCCTCAACAGTACACAATCTCCTGGCTGCCAAAGTCTTGCATCCTTACTTTCAAGTCAGAGTTCTTTTTGTTCCTCTGTTATCGGACAGTGGCATTCTCTGCTGCCTTCTCATAAGCCTGTTTTATGTTTTTCCGTAATTGATCAACAATGTCCTTTTAGGAAGTCACAGATGTACGAATCTGAGGAGGTTCCGAAAGCTAGATCAACTGAAAGCCGAGCTTCCTTTCCATCAAACATGAGTCTATAGGGAGAATATCCAGTGGCATCATTCGTTGTGCTATTATATGCATGGACGATGGTGGCAATGTGGTTCTTTCCCCAATGCTGTTTCTCTCAGAGGACAACATTCCGAGCATGTTCATAAAGTGCGGTTGAATCTCTCAAGCTGAGGGTCTCCCTGTGGGTGGTATGTGGAGGTTCTCGATTTTATTATGTCTAGCAGCTGACATAGTTTATGTATTTTAACTTGCTCTCAAAGTTTCTACCTTGATCTGAGTGTATCCTTGTGGGCAGGCCATAATACATAAAAAACTTCTCCACATAGACTTTTGCTACAGTGATGGCCTATTGATCCTTGTGGGGAAGGCTTGAGCATATCAGGTGAAATGATCAGTCACCACCAGAACATTGCTCTCTCCTACCAGCATCAGCTCTCAGCTGAACATCCACCACTATATCATCAAAGGGTCCTCTGAAGGACCCCTAACTGTATAAGAGCCCCTTTTATAATTTGCAGTCCAATTTCCATTCTCGATGCACTATTTTAGAATCAGGGATGGAACTCTTCAACAATAGGCTAGGGCAGTCTAGACCTACTAGCCAGGCTAGCAAAACCTTACTCTCCCACCAATTGCCCCACCCAACCTTGCCCATGTCTGCCTCCAACCCACCCCTGGCCCATCCCCCAGCCCCAGCCTGCCCCCAACCACTCCCCCTTAAAGCTCATGAAATTACATTTTTCTTTTAGAATAAAGAGTTCCAAATTTATAAAAAACTGCAATTATAACATAGCTTTATGTCAATTTTAAACAAAACAGAAATAGCTTAATAGCAATAAGGTGCAATCAAAATATCAATTTTTACAGCTTTTAAACCTGTAGTAAACATTTTGTATTTTTTTTTTTTTTTATCTCCTGCATCTTTAAAAAGGAGACTTTAGTAACTAAAGTCTCTTTTAAAAGATGTAAGTTTAGTTTACAGAAGTATACGCATAAGAAAAAGTTCTTATTTTGTTGCCAAAAAACATGGAATAATAGTTACTGTAAACATGCTGTATTTTTTATCTCTAGCAGAGACCTTAGAGAACTGTGGCATTAAGAAAAAAGAAAAAAGTGCCTCTTTTGATGGCCAAAAAACATTGCATAAAATAAATAACAATAGTAAACATTTTGCATTTTTTTTATCTCCAGCATCTTATTAAAAGAGAGCTAAGAGAAGTAGTGCATTAAGAAAAAACAAAAAAGTGCTTAATTACCTCATATTTTCGCTCCAAAAGACACACCTAGGTTTTTAGAGGAGGAAAACAAGAAAAAAAAATATTTCTGAACCAATGGACTGCAGACACAGTACAGGAAATGACCAGAGACTGCAGACGACAGTACAGGAGATGACCAGAGACTGCGGACACAGTAGAGGAGATGACCAGGGGGGGGGGGGGGGGGGGGGGGGGGGGGGGGGGGGGGGGGGGGGGGGGGGGGGGGGTGGGGTGGGGGTTGTGTCAAGTTACAGGGGTGCTTGACCAGAGGCTGCGGACACAGTACAGGAGATGACCAGAAGACTGCGGACACAGTACAGGATATGACCAGAGACTGCAGACAGTACAGGGGATGACCAGGACTGCAGACAGTACAGGGGATGACCCAGAGACTGCGGACAGTACAGGAGATGACCAAGAGACTGCGAACAGTACAGGGGATGATGACCAGGGACGATGGCGGACAGTACAGGGGGTGACAAGACAAGAGACTGCGGACAGTACAGGGGATGACCAGAGGACTGCAGACAGTACATGGGATGACCAGCAAGAGACTGCGGACCTTTGGGGAGGGAGGGGGAGTGGGTACCTGAATTTCTGCGAGAAGCGCTGCGCTTTGTGATTGGTCCGGAGTCTTCTGGGACCTATCATGTGTCCCAGAAGATGCTGTACCATTCACAAAGCGCAGCGCTTCTTGCACATGCACAGTGGCATCCGGCTGTCACAGTAAAGATGCCGGGCCGGAAGACTGTATAGCGCTGGACCGAGGAACAGGTAAGTTTCTGCTGCAGAGAAGAGACGAGCGGTTGGCCCGGTATTCTGACAAGATGGAGGCGGCGGAAAATACCGGACCACAGCAGCTCCATATTCGCTCCATAAGACGCACTTGACATTTTCCCCCCTTTTTTTTGGAAAAAAGTGCATCTTATGGAGCGAAAAAATACAGTAGATGCCAAAAAACTTGGCATAACAATAGTAACACATCGTTTACCAAAGATGTGCTAATAGAGCAGCCATGGTTTTGTGTTGTACAGCAGGACCAAGACTTCTGTTGTAAGACCCTTTTTCTGATGCAAAATACCACTTTCAATGGCTGTGTGTGGATTGCATTCTATTCAATTAAGTCAAAAAAAAACAACAAAAAAAAATGTTTTGGATGCCAAAAAAGCAGTAGGAAGCCAGTTTTTTCACATCAAGAGATTTGCAATGGTTTTCATTGTACAGCAGGACCAAGACTTGTGTAATACCCTTTTTCTGATGCAAAATACCACTTCAATGTCTGTGTGTGGATTTCATTCTATTCACATAATATACAGCAGGACCAAGCCTTGTGTAAAGTCCCCTTTCTGATTAAAAATACCATTTATCAATGGCTGTGTTTGAATTGTAATCTATTGGTGGTCCATTAACGGCAATCATCAAAAGATCATCCAAAGTCTCCAGTGTCAGTGATGAACGATAGACCATCTTATTCTGTTTTGGTAGCTAAAGCCACGTTCATATGAGGCGCGGTTGCAGGGGCGTACTGACCATTTGGAAACTTGGGCACATGCCCGAGGGCCCGGGTCAGTAAAGGGCCCCATGAGATGCCCCTGGTACCTTTTTTCATTGAGTTTTGGGCAAAGGACACAGGGGCCCCCATGATCCCATTGCCCCGGGGGCCCAGGAGTTGTCAGTCCGCCCCTGGGACGGTTTGTTGGGGGAAGTAAACGGCAGTGGAAGAAATTGACCAGAGGGAGTATGTTGCTGAATCTTTCTGCTGAATTCAATCTTTTCAGAGTCTCATTAAAAGAGAGTCCATTTTGAATGAAGAGTTTTAGATCAGCCCACTCTACTTCTAAAAAGGTCAATTTTTTGTCTTCAAAACTGATTATCAAAAAAACATGTTTTGCAATTCTGTGCAACTCAGTCAATCCAAAGTTGAGGATGTGTGCTTTGTCTGGCCAAGACACACTGTTAAATATATTGAAAGATTGTACAAATATCTGAGGAGAATGAGGAAAGCCTCAAAATTAAATATCTTTCTGCTTTGTGGCCAATACAGATTGGCGTATAGACTGAAATTCTCTGTCACCAGCTTGAAGGTTGGTCAGCTGCAGCCCATATAGTTTTCCATCTTCTGTAAACTTACTAAGAAATTTCAGCGGTTTCAGATCTTTCAGGATGTCTTTAACTTTAGCAGATTCAGATGATCCCTCAGTTGATATCTGCTCAATATGGCTCACTACTGTCTTCCAGTTTTGCAGAAAAGCACGCAAGCCCTCAACTTTGCTGCATAACCAGCGCACTGTGTGTACATCTTTAATTTTAAAGATTTCCTCACTTAAAGTGTTTGCGAGATCTTTAAGTTGCATAAGGCGTTTTGCTGAGCAATGATATTTGAAAACACGCCACACCACCTCATCGAATGTTTGTAGGTATGGCATTTCCTTGCAAACGTCCAAGATCGCAAGCTGCAAGCGATGAGCCACACAATGTATGCTGATCATCTGTGGGCAGACTTCTTTCATCTGGACTGCTAAACCTGACTTGTGGCCAAGCATTCTTGCAGCTCCATCCATTCCCAAATCTGCAACCCACGAAGAGCCTCTGTAATTAAGATGCAAATTATCCATAAAGGCAGTCAATCCTTTAAAATAACCTTCGGCTTTAACATTTTCTAGTGCAAATGTACCCAAAAAATCTTCTTTGACGTCTCCTTCTAAAACATAACGGACTTAAATGTTTGCATGTTCAGTATAGGTTCGATCTGTAGATCCGTCAATCATGATGCCAACAAAAGGTAACTTTTTAATGGTTGCCACAAGACTTTCTATGATTATTCTTGCAATGAAATGAATTGTTTGCATTGAACATTACCTTCCATATTTCTACAGAACTGGCACATCTAGTTTGGCACTCAATGTTAATAAATCAGGGAAATCTAGAAATGGCTTTTCACATTTAGCTACATAATAAGCAATGTTAAACGTGTGTGTCATGTGCTCAAACATTGCAGTGTCCATTTTTCTGATACACATAGCTAAAGGTCTTTCTTCAAAGTTGTCTCTAGCCTTTGCCTTATCAATATTCTCTTTTTTTTTTTTTTTTTTTTTTTTTCAATGTTGTTGGTGTTTTTTTTTTTTTTTACTCTTTTCTAAATCATTTTGCCCCCAGAGCGCAGCACAAAAATTTTCATTTACCTTAACCTGGCGGGTGTAGTGATGTGCACCTTTGGAGGGGTCTCTCCTTCACGTGTCCCCCACGGCGATGTAGAGCGGGGCCTCTCCTCGTGTCCCCCAAGGCGGTGTAGAGTGGGCCTCTTCTCGTGTCCCCCAAGGAGGTGTAGAGTGGGCCTCTCCTCGTGTCCCCCAAGGGGTGTAGAGTGGGCCTTGTGTCCCCCAAGGCGGTGTAGAACGGGTCTCGTGTCCCCCAAGGTGGTGTAGAACGGGTCTTGTGTCCCCCAAGGTGGCGGAGAGTGGGCCTCGTGCCCCCCAAGGCGGTGGAGAGCGGGCCTCGTGTCCCCCGCGGTGGTGGAAAGCGGTCCTCTCCTCGTGTCCCACACAGCGGCGGAGAGCGGGTGTCTCCTCTCAGCGGAGGAGAGCGGACCTCTCCTGCACCTGTCCTCTCAACGGCACTGCCAGTGTAATGGCGGTGCCAAAGAAGAAGCCAGAAGTCGGAAACCAGAAGTTGGAAACCGGAACTCGGCTTCACAATGAGGCTTGGAGTGCAGATGGAGCAGCTTAATCTGTGTTCACCACACAAGGATTTCCCCTCGCATTTGGCAAGCAGGCGAGTGGCTTTTTCAAGCCCTGGGCTAGGGTCCTGTTTGGTCAGGACCTCCACAGTTAAAGGGATCTTCCTCCTGTTCCACCTTCAGATCCCTCTTGGACAACTAAGGCAACATCTCATTCCTCACTTGGGTCAGGTCACAATAACAACTCGGCACTCCAGAGGGGGTTACCCCCGATGGACGCAACTCCGATACCCCCTTTGAGCCTCTGAATGATGTCCTGACACAGGGCCTGCACTCTTTTCAGGACCTCAGTTCCATCACAGTTGTTGGTCAGGGCCACGTGGTTACAGCTTCCAGCTTCTTCGGGTCAATGACAATGCCCTTGGCAGAGACAATATGTCCCAAGTAGGTGACAGAGGTTTGGTAGAACTGACACTTTTTCAATGACAGCTTCAGGTACTCTTCAGGAAGTCTCTCAAAGACCTTCTTGAGCTATGTCGTCGTCTAGGTACACCAGTACCTCAATCAGGTTCATTTTGCCAACTGTACGCTCCATCAGTCACTGAAAGGTAGCCGGGCCCCCCCCCCCCCCGAGAACCCTTGCGGTATCCTGTTGAATTCAAAGAACCCCAACTGGCAGAAGAATGCCGTCTTCTCCCTGTCCTTTGGGTGCATGGGGATCTGGTATTATCCGCTAGCGATCGGCCGAACACCCCTGTGTTTGGTTCGCGGTCGAACATTCGAACCTATCGAATGTTTGACAGCGAAATTTGAACTCAATGCAGATCAATGGGACTCTAACTTGTAAATTCATAAGTGCCCATTTTGAAGGCTTTTATGCAAGTTATTGGCCATAAAAGGGGTATGGGGACTCCGGTACTGCCCCAAGGGACATGAATCAGTGAAAAAATATGTTTTCAAAAAGTACTGTTTTTAAAGGGGCAGTCATTTTTCATTGCTTAAAAAGGAAAAAAAAATTCCTTTAAATTTGATGCCTGGGTGGGGGGCTCCCCTTATACTACCTGCAAAGTTGCACAAATGGCATTGTTTTTAATTGAAAAAAAAAAAAAAAAAAAAACCAGAGTGGGGTCCGCCCGCCTATTCCGTACCAGATTTTTTAGGTCTGGTAGGAAGGTTAGGAGGGACACCACAGTAAAAAATTAAAACAAAAAAAGATCCGTGGGGTTCCCCCTAAAAGATATACAGACACTTTAGGCCTGGTAGAACTTTTAAGGGGAACCCCACCCCCCCAAAAAAAATCTGAAAAAAGTGTGGGGTCACCCTAAATTCCTACCAGACCCTTGATCTGAGCACAGGCCTGGCAGGACAGGAAAGGGCAGGGAACGAATGAGCACCCCCCCATGGCTTACCAGGCCTTGTGCCTTCGGCAAGGGGACACTGGGCTTCTTCCCCACAACCCTGGCCCGGTGGTTTTGGAGGCAGGCAGGGGAGGGGAGCAGGCAGGCAGGGGAGCTCATTAGCATCAGGGTACCCCTTTAAATAAGGGGGCACCCTGATGCTGCCCCCCTGTGAATGAGTGAGGGGTACTTGTGCCCCTACTGATTCAGTAAATGGTTAAATTGTGTAAACAAAATAAAGACGCCAGACTTTTGAAAATTTCCTTTTGAACAAAAAACTAAATAACATTTTTTGATAAGTCCTTTATAACAAAAAGCCAAAAAAATGGTTCCATCGTTGTAATCCATCATCAATCACAGCGTCCAGCTTTGTCATGACGAGGCCGACTCACCGAAATAAAAAAAAAAAAACCTGATGTCCGCACCTGCCAAGCACTTGCCGCAATATGACAGATCTGACACTTGCCAGTCACATGTAAACAACTGGGCAGAGCTAGCGGTGATGTCAGCAGATGTGACAGCGATGAGGATTGGACCCTGCTCTAAAAATTCTAATTATATGCACCTGTCACACAGTGTGTTGAAAAAATGGGCTTTGGGTTTTGGTGCCTCTGCACTGTAACCCCTTACAGTTACTCTTGAGTGCTGGAACTGGCACTGCTCTAAACAACTGAAATGATATGCACCTTGCACAC